CCAGGCGTCTGTGCAATCACAGGCTCCCAGCACCAATCGTGGCCCCGCCTTCCAGCCGCTCCCCCTGCCCACGCCAGGTTTCCATCCGGTGTGCAGCCAGAGAAAAATTAGAGATACCGGACATTGCACATGTCCGGTATTCTGATTTTTTACTGGACAAAGAGCGGAAATACCAGACTGTCCAGTAGAATACCAGATACCTGGCAACCCTACAAAGATAATATTATTACCAGAAATATAGAAAGCTTCATAGAAATTTACAAACATTTTAGGAGTGGTTTATATTCAGATGAATTTAATAAAATAAAATCCTTGAAAAGTTAAATTATATATATACATACACACACACACACACACACACACACACACACACTGAAATTAAGAGCAATTTTACTAAGTTGCTATAATTTTTAAAGGTATACAATTTAAACATAGAAAAACAATAATAGCATTGTCTAATGGATGTTTCTTTACTTACTTGCCTTATTTTGTTTTAAGTAAAAGGAGTATTGATTGCACATGAAATTAAGTTCACTCTGATGTGTTCTAAGAGACTCCAGCATACAGAATCTTCCATAATATGAATGCTACCACATACTTAATTCAGATTCAATGGAAATACACTTAACTAGAAAACTGCTTGTCACAAATTCAAATTAGTATTTAATATTCAATTATTACAATGTTTCATTTATGTTATTATATTACATATTCAAATAAATATTTAATTCATTTATGCAAATATACATACAAATAGCTTTCATTTTACTTTCAAAGAATAAGAATTCAATGCAAAGGTTTGACATACTAAAACAGACATCAAACTTCGCTTAAGTAGCACATATAAATACATATTATATTCTAGATGAACTGGAAACCTAATTCTAGAGCAGAGATCAACAACCTATGGCTCTCAAGCCAAATATGGATCAGTACAGAACCAAATATGGCTCTTTTGTTATTCCCTAAATATACACAACTTTTTAAAGTAAAATGAAAATAAATTCAACATTTTAAAAACGCATAATTACTCATGTCAAAATGGTCTTTTTTGTCTATTTCACCTTTAACCACAGGTGAAAGTAAGGTGGTGCGCCCCAGTAAGGAACAGCTGGGTTCCAACAAAAGCTGGCTCAATCACTCTGATCATTTATAGGGCTGGCTGAGGACGCACTGTAGGGGATGCCTATGCACTCCCAGTCAGGATAGTGAGAGGAGCTAGTGGTGGCAGATGCCTCCATGTGGCTGTGGCAACCTAGCTCCTGCCCCCATCTGACTGCCATGGTCTGTCCCCAGCTGCCATGCTCTTGGGGCAGACTCCACAGGACAGCCCCAGCGGCCCTGCTCGGGCAGCTGTCAACAAGGCCCCAATCAGTGCCCAGTTCCCATATGGCCACAGCATCCTGTACCCAGCCCCAATTCTGGGGCAGTCCCTGCGGTCTAGTCCCCATCTGTCCACAGGAAAGGCTGGCAGCAACCCCCCTGCTGCTGCGGAATGGGTAGGAGGAAAGGCCATAATCCTGCTGTGGTGATCCTGGCCTAGCCCCTCATCCAGCCATTGTTGCCTGGGTGCAGCAGCCCAGCCCTGGCCAGATAAGGTAGTTTGGCGAGGAACCCCACATGTATTCTACTTCTCTCCCCCTTCTCTCCAGTGCCCTACCCTGCTTCCTGAACCTCCCACACACCCCAACTCCCTGCTCTGAGCTCCTGCTACACCTAGGCACTTGACTCCTACACCCCCCCAAAGTATACCCCCAGCAGTAGCAGAAGTCCAATTAAATAAAGGCTGTGAGTACAGTGTTTCATTTATGCCATTATTAATCACCATATCCAGGGCTCGACAAATCACTATATCTACGTTTGGCGAGGAACCCCACATGTATTCTACTTCTCTCCCCTTTCTCTCCAGTGCCCTACCCTGCTTCCTGAACCTCCCACACACCCCAACTCCCTGCTCTGAGCTCCTGCTACACCTAGGCACTTGACTCCTACACCCCCCCAAAGTATACCCCCAGCAGTAGCAGAAGTCCAATTAAATAAAGGCTGTGAGTACAGTGTTTCATTTATGCCATTATTAATCACCATATCCAGGGCTCGACAAATCACTATATCTACTCGCCCGTGGCGAGTAGATTTCAGCCGTTCACCCCGTTCACCGGCGCAGCGTGCATGCGCAGTGCTGGTCTGGCACATGCATGGTGTGGGGCTGGCGAGTAGATCTCGCCGCGGTTCGTCGAGCCCTGATCATATCAATTATCAATAATAATAAGTTGTCTATTTTCAGTCATGCAAAAATGGGCACACTTACACTGGCTCTTTGTTGACCACTTGTTCTCAATTTTGATGTAGTTTGGCTGTTAGGTTTGAAAAGGTTAATGACCCCGGTTCTAGAGAGATCTCATTTGTGCATATGTCTCGACTAACACTTCATTCATTTCTTTTACTACACATTACAAGTTTTTTAAAACCTTTCTTTCTTACTTAGCATGTTTTCAAAACTTATCTTGAATCAGTCAAACATAAAAAGTGATATGTGTAATGGGTATCAATTACTCACCTTCACAAACCACGAGTGATAAAGTCTGTCCCAGAGCTCTAACACTTGTTTTTCAATCACAGCCGTGTTGTTCACTTTCTCTCCCAATATCTTATGGAGCTAAAATATAGATATTCTTGATTATGTTAAAAAAAACTTAAAGTTAGCTGAACTTAAAGCCAGAACCATCAACATTAGTAGAGCCCTGAGCAGATTAAAAAAAATGTGCATCCGCATTCACATCTGCAAAAATGAGCCACGGATAACTGCATTGACATCCAAGCATGTGGATACTCAGATATAAAGCAGATATCCATGGATTACAGGGCTCTGCACATTAGATTTTCACTGAAGGGTTGGCTAAGGTCCAAAAATACCAAGCAAGTCAATAGTGTCTCCAAGTACACAACATGCATTTTAAATATTGCAGCTTACTGCACATAACACCTTACCCATAGGCGTGCGCAGTACATTTCATTAGGGTGTGCACCCAAAGAATTTTTTTAAAATGCACTTTGACCCCCATTGGCCACACCCCTGAGCCCCATTGGCCACACCTCTGGAGGTAACATTCTCATGGCAAGATGGACATATAACCAGAAGTAAAAATCTGGAGGTAACCCTCTGGGGGCAAGATGGGCACATAACCAGAAGTAAAAGGTATCATGTGACACGCCCCCCTCCAAGGACTTTTCCCACCATCCTCCTACCAACAGGTATTAATTTGGCCCTCACCAAACCCCCCCTCATGCAACTATCCTGAAGTTGCATTAACCCAATGTGTGTGACATTAACTCGGGGGTGGAGAGGCTGGGGAAAGTGTTCCTTCAGAGTTTCCTCCCATGAACAGAATGAATTTTGTGTTGTGCACCAGTACTGAGTTCATGTGGCTTGTTTGGATGTGCCACTGTGGCACCCAAGTTATTAATAAATATCTCATAAACCTCTACCTTTTCCCTCTGCTGCCATGTCTCCACCCCTTGCTCCATCAGCTCCCCTGGTGCCTGCCCCCCCCCAACCACTCCCCTGCCCCTGCTGTCCTGACTCCTGCCTTTCTCACTGCCCTCAGCCCTCTTGAGACCTGCCCCCCTCCATCAGCCTTCCTCTGCCCCCTGTGCCCACTCTTCTAGTAGCCCCACTCTGATCATGTGAGCTACCCCTCCTCATCCCCTCTCCCAACACCTCCCTCTACACACCTGCCCTGCCCCTCTCTTCTGGTGTTGGTCCCTCCCCTGCAGGTGTCTGCCCTTCTGCTTTTTCCTCATTGTCTCCACTTCCCCCCTAGCATTTGTGTGTCCTCTACCCTGTCCCATTGGTGCCTTCCCCTTTCTTCCCGCTCTCCCCTCCCCCTCCATACAAGCCCCTTCCACCCCTTCCTTTTTCTTCCTCCTCCACCCTCCCCCACTGCAAAAGCCCCTTCCCCTCCCACCCCTTCCTCTTATTCCCCCCCCCCTTACCTTCAGCTTCTGCCTTACAGCTTGCAGGGCTGATGTCAGAGCCAGCCCAAGCTGCAGAGCTGGGGAGGGGCACCCCCAGGGTGCAGTATGGTGCTGCAGGGCCAGGCGGGGGCACCTATGGGGCATCACGTGGTGCTGAAGGGCGGGGCGCCACACAGTGCTGCCAGGACAGGCAGGGGCGCCCCTGGGGCACCGTGTTGTGCTGCCGGGATGGGCAGGGCACTCCAGGGCACCTCAAGGGTGCCGCACTGTACTGCCGTGATGGGCGGGGGCTCTCCCGGGTACCTCAGGGATGCCGCGCAGTGCTGCCATGCTGGGCGGTGGCGCTCCAAGGAATCTCAAGGGCACCATGCCATGCTGCTCTGCTGGGCGGGGGTGTTCCCAGTTGCCTCAGGGGCACCGCGCCATGCTGCTGAGCCCTGTGGTGTTGCTGGGCCGGGTGGGGCCCCGGGCGCAAAAATGGGTCGGGCTAGGCGGCCCGAGACATTTGGGTGTGCCTGGGCACACCCAGCACACCCCATGCACATGCCTATGACCTTACTCAAAACAAGGAATTTTGCTACATTAACTGGAAACAGAGATGAGACGCCTCCCTAATAAAACACTAAGCACAAACTTCTGTCAAAATATACTATATAGTCCGGGGTGGGGAACCTCAGGCCCACAGGCCAGATGCAGCCCCCAGGTTACCTGGCTCAGAACTGGGGAGCCTAAATTGGTTCTCCAGTCCCCCTGCCACCCATGCACGGGGCTGGAACACACAAAATCTGCTAGCTTGGGACCCCTTAGGCTCTGGTGTGGAAGTGGAATGCAGGGAGTGTCTTTCTTCTTCTAAGTCAGGGGTTTCTTACTTTGCTTCTCACTTGTGCGTGGCCCTCAACTGATTTTTCTGTGGGTCAGCAACCCCCGACATAAAAAAAGGTTCCCCAACTCTGATATAGTCAATCCTCCCTAGGAGATCCGAGAGGTCTGCTAGATGTCATAATGTTTATGAGAGCAGATACTGCCACCCTCCCAAGGAATGCTGAACTCCCAATCTCCAATTAACTTTGTACTTTAGAGACTGGAACTTCAGAAGATCATGGGTTGGATAAAAATAGTCATTTTCACAAAAATGCATTCTGTCATCAGGAAAATACTTTACTAAGAACAATTTCTGAAACAAATTACGTTTTCCATAGATTTTACATGTATAGTCACAAGGGAGATGGATAAATCTCTCCTTTTTCAAGCTCTTAAAAGCAGCTTCCAGCAGCCCTGGGGAAGATCATTAAAATCATTCACAAATATCACATTTAGCCTTATTTGTTCCAATCTATTTATCAATTTTCTGCAAAACAACTTTTCAAGGTAACTAAAGCAAACCAGGAAATACTCTGACATCTACAAGGAGGAAAAAACTGTATAGAAATAGATCATTCTCTTATTCTGCAAGAGAATAAAAACCAAAACACTAAAATTAAAAAAAAATATTAGCAAGGTGTTCTTACCTTATGTGTAATCCATTCTCTGCCATACTGATATACATTGTTAGCAGCCGAATTGAGAGCTTTTTGAAAAACCTGAGCTTCTGGAAGCCAGCTGATATTTTTAAGGAGGGAAAGTATAAATAAAATTATCTCCAATACTTCTCAACCATTTCATTACAATGCCTGAAACACTAAAGATTACAAAAGGTTTCCAACCAACAAGCAACTATAGTTTAAATATGCATCAACTAACATCTTTGTTAAAACTAGAATTCTTCCTCTTACAATGACAGAACAACTTAATATACAAAGCAGCGGAGGATAAAGATTATAACATTTACATTTCACTCTAAGGCTGATTAGGAAAAGTACTCCAAACTTATCAAATTTAACTTTAGAAGACATCTTGTTGATCTATGTGTATGCTATAATATAATTGTTTAGCCACTTGTTGGGTTCTTAGGATTTGCTGCTTTGTTGGAAATATAATTTGGAAACCTTATCTTTCAAGCTCATATGGTTGCAATGAAAGCCTTCCAAATATGAAATGACTATAAACAGATACAGCGTGGTCTTTCTGAACTGACAGCCTAAAAATACAAAGTTATGTAAATTACTCACTGCTCAAATCCTATTCCAACTCAAAATGTGTGTGCTGGAGACTATTTTTAGTACTGAGAAAAAAAAAAATCTTCCCATTCCCCTTCCCGTCACTCTAAAGGAAGAGGGCTAATCTGCATACATCTACACAGTAAATGAACACCTGGAGCTGGCCTAGGTCTGCTGACTAGGACTCACTGAGCATGGCCTGAGAGGCTATCAAACTGCTATGTAGGTGTTGAAGCTCAAGCTGGAGTCCAGGCTCTAGTAAGACCTTCAAGTGTCTGCACAACAATTTTTAGACCTGCACGCTCTAGTTAGCTGACCAGGGCCAGCCACAGCCATGCAGTGGGTCTTTTATTTCTGTGTTGACATATCCTATGTGACGAGTGTTCAAGCCTCAATGCACCGGTGCTCCCCAAATCTTGCCCCACCAGTGCAGAAAAGAATACAGTTCCCCATAGATGCTGGGAGGAGCAGTATTTGGTCCAGAAGAGGTGTAAAATGCCTTCATTCACCTCAATAAGCTATTAACTGATGCTTCTGACAGTCAAAAAAAACAAAAACCCTATACAGTTATATGGTATTGGAAGCTTCTGATCTCTCATTTGCCCACTTTGTAACTTATGTACACTTCATACTCCGAAAGCAAGTAGGGTAAGTCTTTTGATAAGAGCCTGCTGGATGATTTAACAAGGCTTGAATCAATTTTTTTTCCAATGTGAAATCAAATAAAATCGTATCTTCCAGTCAAGGAAAAAAATCTGATAAATAGGCACTCCAATCGAAACGGATATCTAGCAACTCTACTGCTTATCAGCCATTTTAATCTAAGACTTCAGAAGGGTAGCCGAGTTAGTCTGTAACAGAAAAAACTTAAAACAAAGTGTCTTGTAGCACCTTAAAGACTAACAAAACACGTAGATGGCATCATGAGCTTTCATGGGCAAAACCCACTTCTTCAGATCTAGACTAGACTATTGATTGTTTTTTTAAGTTTTTCATTTTAATCTAGTTGGTCACTACAACTGCCAACTTGTATTAGTCTCATTTTTGTCAGATTTTTACCATGTATGCAGAATGCAAGGTCTGAATCTTACAATAGCTGCCAACCAGGGGCTTGTCTACATGGTGGGATAATATTCCATACTGTATGTGATTTTTAAACATAGCAATGTGTTTTAAATTAAGTGGTCTATGTCAACCCCGTTGTGCATTAAAGGTTTCCTAGTGTACTTCAATTTAGTTTTGTTTAACGTAATATGTTAAAGTGTACCAGGAAATATTTAGGGGGGCACCTTGGCTGGCGCAGCCACAACCTGGCCCTCCTTGGTGGCCGGGGGCAGAGCTGGAACAGACTACCCCCCCACGATAGGGGGACTGGCATGGGGGGACTGGGAAGCACAGCGAGAAGAGGGCACAGCCCCCATATTTAAACAGTATGATGGAAAAGTTCGGTTTTATATCATTCTTACATCAAAATGACTAAGTATTATTTTAATCAACTACAACTGGTTAACAGAGTAAAAGCATTCTGATTGGGTAATAATTCAAGTCATGCAGTGTTTTAATATCATATGTTGCTAAGAGTCACAGACACATTTAAAGAACTATTTGTCTGACTATCACTGGTATACACAATTTGGGACTAAAGAAAAAGTAAAGTATAGCCAATATTCATTTGTTTAAAGCACCATAAAAGTAAGGATGAAACTTACTCTGTAATCATATCACCTGAAAAATCACTCCTCAGACCGATCTTTTCAATCTCTGCTATTCACACAATCCACTGTGAGCACTCCCTTCACACAGAGTGATTCCCTCCCTTTCCCCTAACTGCCCCCTTTTTACCTTTCCATTAATTTTTCCCTTCATTTCCATTCCAATTTGCTCTCCTTATTGCACAATATTCCCTCTAATCTTTCTGCTAGGGATGTGAACGATGTGGGATGTTTGCTAGGGAAGTAACTACACACTATTCGACTAGTCACTTCTTCCCCCCTGCTGCCTCTATCAGAAAGAGACAACAATGGGGGGAGGGGGGAAAGGAGGTGAGCGGGATGCTTCAAAGCAGCAGCATCGCGGCCAGACCCTGGGCTCCACGCAGCGCTGCCACTTTGAAACACCACATACAGTGCCCAGCTGGCCTGGGCTGCACGTAGCGTTTCAAAGAGACAGCGCTGCATGGAGCCCAGGGTCTGCCATTTTGCAACGCTGCGTGCAGCCCAAGGGCAGCTGGGAGTCCTCTGCTGCCCCCGGGCTCCATGTGGCAATGCCACTTTGAAACACCGCGTGGAGCCTGATGCTGGGCTCCCCAGAGACCCCAGCTGTCCCTGGGCATCATGACTCCAGGCTCCCCAGAGTCCTCAGCTGCCTGCAGGCTGCCTGCAGGCTTTGAAACACTGCTGGGCACATGGGAGTGCCCTGCTGTTGCTACACTTCAAAGTCAAACTGCATTGACTATTCAATTAGCCAATTAATCTAAATTTAACATCTCTACTTCCTACTACTTCTCTGCACTTGAATACTTTTTATCTGCATGTAGATACTATATGCTTCTCCCCTTCCACTATTTTCGCTTATATTTCCCACTAAATTTTTTTCCAAATGAATTCCTTTTTTGCTAATCCACTGCAAAAGATTTCCCCCCAATTTTATTAGTTCCTCAAAAAAGTTTCCCAGACATCATGGTACCCTTACAGGGGCTTGCATTGCCTTAATTCCTCCAATCTTATAAAGGGGCTTCCCAGTTAATTTTCTGGTCCAGATTATGTAGCTATCTTCCTTTTGCTCTCCTGAACTACAGCCAGGGAGACAAGCCATTTTAAAACAGATACCACTCAGGAAATTACACAACTCTCTGCCACCACCAGTCCACAATTAAATCATTAGGCTCAGCTCCCATCTGCCTTTTCACATTCACAAGCGATCACTAGTCCAAGGGATTGACTGGAAGGTAAATTTGCACCAGAATTGTTGGAAGGGAAGCAGCAGCATGCCTGAAAGAGTCACTCATTTAACATGAGTCTTTTAAAAATATAAGAAATGCACATAAGAGCACTTTGAAACTTGAGTATTTACTCTACTCATAATTTCAGCATTCTTACTTTGCCCATTCTGGGTGATTGGCAACAGTCTCATTGATCAAGCTGCTTGTGACTTGAATCAAGTGAACGCTTTCTTGATGTACCTGAGTTAAACCGAGACAAAAGAAACAATATAAAGTGTTATATACCCTGAATTAACAAGATATTTACATCTAAAATGTTCAAGAATGATTGGTGATTTCTGGTGCTCAATTTATAAACATCAGGCTCTTGAAATGTTTCAAGACAGAAAGATACAAAGTAGAGTCCCTTTAAAAGGGCTGAATTCCTACATCCAAAAATTAATTAATTCAAAATTACCAGTCTTTTTTGTGAATCTGGATAATATACAAGTGGTCAACAACCCAGAAATTGTAAATTGTTTTCTCAACTATGATCTAGACACACTGACCAGTAAGATACTGAAAATAAAGAGTCTACATAATCCTAAAGTAAGTGTACCGCTACTAATTTTATTTTTGAGCCATGAATAAAAGAAATGTGAACGTCACTCCATTTTCTGTGCTACAATGAACAACTATGCTATTAAATGAATTAGTTTAATTCTAGAATAAAATATATTTCTTAGAAAAAGTGTTACCTGTATCTTGAAATAGATGTGTTAAATGTTTACACACTTGCTAAAACTTATGATTGCATATACTCAATATTCTTAATAAATTCTACATCATATAAAAGGGAAAACTGACATTAACTACAGACTGAATGGCCACATGGGCTCTGTAATTAAAAAAAACAGAGTATAAGTAAAAATGATCAATAAGTCCTTAATGTGAACACAATCAGCAAAAAACATTTCAAGGAACTGTGCACAAAAAAAATTAAAATTCTGAATATTTGTCAAAGCAACAATATTATCAGGCTAGTTTCAATTATTTGATGATTTCAGAACACCCATCAATAAATGTGTGTAACAAGACAAACAAATCAGGATTTTTTTTTCTAATAGACTCCTTACTAGCTCTATTAATACAGAACTTGGAGTAATAACTTATTTAAACTACAATACCGAACATATTTCCTACACCACCCAGAAGCAGTGCAGAGCTGAGGAACAGGGAAGTAGTTGCTGCAAGGAGCTCGGGAGTAAAACTCAAGGGCTGTAGGGCATGAGTATGAGAAGTATGGAAACAGAGGATTTTGGGGAGAGGGGGGAAGGGTGGAAAAATTATTATGGAGTTGTGGAGCCTCCGCTGGTCGACCCCTACACTTTCATTCGATCAGGCACATCTGCCCCGTCCCAATTTGTCTTTGTACCACTACTCAGCTAGCCACTTCTCCCACCTCCTCGTCCCCATGTATCCCTGTACCTTCATGCAGCCATCCCTGCTCCTCCTCCACCCTCACATGACCCTGAATTCCCCATACCTGATTCAGATACCATGCCAGTTTGTCTCCCTACTACCTCTTCTGATGCCTCATCTCTAATCCCCAGAATCTTCATGTGCCATGTCCCATGCCTCTTCTCCTGGCCCTGTGAGCAGGGTGCTGCAAGGAGCTCAGCTTCTTCTCCTCCCTCTCCCCTCTTCCTGTCTTGCTGTTCCTCAATGGAAGCAGCAACCCTCTGTTGTGGCAACACAACAGCCCCTGACAGACAAGAAGCGTAACTGCATCACCGCTTCAGCACAATGCATCAGCAGCAGAGAAAAAAAATTGTGGGGGGACATGAATTCTGCAAGTAGAGAGTGGCACAGAATTCTGTAGATAAAAAAGTTCACATTAAGTGAGTGATTTCTACTGGTAAGAAAAACTAACTACATAAAATCAAATTCAGAAAATATGATCATGAATTTGGGTATATCTTAATTTGATAATATGGTGTCAAAAGATCAAAATGATTATGGGTACCTACATGTGGATATGGGTACCGACACACCTCACAAATATTTACAAGTGTGAGATGCAGAAGGTCTTGTATACAAATGTATGCTCTTCCCATACTTCTACAGATTTATGCTGAAAATGATTTTCAATGCATTTGAATATCATCCTTCAGATAAAAGTATGGGAAGTAGTTTCATAATAGTAATATTCTACACACAAAATGCTGATGCAAAAGGAATCCGAAGGTATCTTCCTTACTCACTGAAACCAAGCAGTTATAACAGATTGCAAAATAATTCTAGTGCTACTATTTTAAAATTATAACATGGCTCACAATTCTCTAACTACACAGTTTACTAGGGTGACATATTTTGCATATACAAAATTTTTTCTTCACCTATACATATTATTAACAGGATAGAATGAAGAACATTTGATTATCAAATATTTCAAAAAAGCCTTCTTGCTTTTTAGTGCTACAGTAATATTTTCACTTAAAAAGGGGATTAAAAGAACAATTTGATGTTTCTTGATGTACTGTACCTTTGCCGTAAGGAGCAGGGCTAGGAGAAGGGTTCCTATCACTAGCAAAAATATTATGAAAATGCTAATGATTTTATCAAGCATTTTCTCCAGCCACACGATCATCTGTGCAGAAAAACAAAAACAAATTATGGCATATAAAAATCAGTTTGTTATTCAAATGATACTGGCCCAATATGACAATCCTGGATTTCATAGGAAGTTTCTTTACAAAAAGACTGAAAAGTCAGGCCATAAGCAAGTATTATTTATGCCCAAGCTTAGATACAAACAATTAATAAGTAATAAACATAATGACAACTAAGGAAAATGTTATAATGCAAATGATTTTTCAAATTAAATTTAAACATTACTGTGAATCACACAGCAAGCTCTCAGCAAAGCAAATATACATTTTAAATTATTTTGTTATCTGATCCAAAGAAAATAGCTCTCATTTTAATTCTCAACTCAGATTTTGGTTTAGTTTTTTTCTTCAAATAGAGAAACTTAGGGTCACAATAATCTGCCCAAAACTTGGGAAATTACCCATGTGGGCTATACAACCATAATTTTCAAATTTGGGTGGCTGAAGTTAATCATTTAAGCCTCTATGCAATAGCTACATAAGTAACCCAATTTTTAACGCTGCTAAGCATCCTCAAGCCTTACCTGAGCTCAGTGCAGGCAGCCTGAACATAAATACAAACACACTTAGGGTATGTCTACACTGCAAAGTTAATTCGAAATAACAGCTGTTATTTCAAATTAACTTTAATAGCGTCTATACCTGCAAACCGCTATTTCGAAATTAATCCGAAATAGCGGAGCGCTTAATTCAAATTTGGTAAACCTCATTCTACAAGGAGTAACACCAAATTCGAAATAGCTATTTCTAATTAAGTGCTGTGTAGATACTTAATGCTAAATAGGGGTTTCTCCAGCCCTTCCCAGGGAGCCCTGGTGGCCACTCTGGGCACAACCAGGAAAACTTACTCTCCTCTCCTCCAGCCCCAGAGCCATTAAAAGGGTAGACCTTGGCCACAGTGCCTGTGCCAGCTCCAAGCCTGCCAGCCCAGAGTCAGCAGTGGCCACCAGGGCCCCTGACCCAGTGGCCCCCAC